CACACAAAATAGACACATAGATCAATGGAACAGAATAGAGAGCCCAGAAATGGACCCTCAACTCTATGGTCAACTCATCTTTGACAAAGCAGGAAAGAATGTCCAATGGAAAAAAGACAGTCTCTTCAACAAATGGTGTTGGGAAAATTGGACAGCCATATGCAGAAGAATGAAACTGGACCATTTCCTTATACCACACACAAAAATAGACTCCAAATGGTTGAAAGACCTCAATGTGAGACAGGAGTCCATCAAAATCCTAAAGGAGAACACAGGCAGCAACGTCTTCGACCTCAGCCGCAGCAACTTCTTCCTAGAAACATCACCAAAGGCAAGGGAAGCAAGGGCAAAAATGAACTACTGGGACTTCATCAAGATAAAAAGCTTTTGCACAGCAAAGGAAACAGTCAACAAAACCAAAAGACAACTGACAGAATGGGAGAAGATATTTGCAAGTGACATATCAGATAAGGGGCTAGTATCCAAAATCTATAAAGAACTTATCAAACTCAACACCCAAAGAACAAATGATCCAATCAAGAAATGGGCAGAAGACATGAACAGACATTTTTCCAAAGAAGACATCCAAATGGCCAACAGACACGTGAAAAAGTGTTCAACGTCACTCAGCATCAGGGAAATCCAAATCAAAACCTCAATGAGATACCACCTCACATCAGTCAGAATGGCTAAAATTAACAAGTCAAGATACGACACATGTTGGCAGGGATGAGGAGAAAGGGGAACCCTCCTACACTGTTGGTGGGAATGCAAGCTGGTGCAGCCACTCTGGAAAACAGTATGGAGGTTCCTCAAAAAGTTGAAAATAGAGCTACCATACAGCCCAGCAATTGCACTACTGGGTATTTACCCCAAAGATACAAATGTAGGGATCCGAAGGGGTACGTGCACCCTGATGTTTATAGCAGCAATGTCCACAGTAGCCAAACTATGGAACAAGCCAAGATGTCCAATGACAGATGAATGGATAAAGAAGATGTGGTATATATATACAATGGAACATTATAGAGCCATCAAAAAAATGAAATCTTGCCATTTGCAATGACGTGGATGGAACTGGAGGGTATTATGCTGAGTGAAATAAGTCAATCAGAGAAAGACATGTATCATACGATCTCACTGATATGAGGAATTCTTAATCTCAGGAAACAAACTGAGGGTTGCTGGAGTGGTGGTGGGGTGGGAGGGATGGGGTGGCTGGGTGATAGACATTGGGGAATGTATGCGCTATGGAGAGTGCTGTGAATTGTGTAAGACTGTTGATTCACAGTCCTGTACCTCTAAAACAAATAATACTTTATATGTAAAAAAAAAAAGAAGAAGAAGATAGCAGTAAGGGAAAAATGAAGGGGGGGTAATCGGAGGGGGAGGTGAACCTTGAGAGACTATGGACTCTGAGAAACAAACTGAGGGTTCTAGAGGGGAGGAGGGTGGGGGGATGGGTTAGCATGGTGATGGGTATTAAGGAGGGCACGTACTGAATGGAGCACTGTGTGTTATACAGAAACAATGAATCATGGAACACTACATCAAAAACTAATGATGTAATGTATGGTGATTAACATAACATAAAAAAATGTGTAACTAAAAAAAAAAAACTAAAAGGCAACCTATAGAATGGGACAAGATAGTTGAAAGTGACATATCAGATAAAGGGTTCATATCCAAACTATATAAAGAACTTATAAAAGTGAATATCCAAAAAACTACCCAGTAAGAAATGGGCAGAAGACATGAACAGAGATTTCTCCAAAGAAGCCATAGAAATGGCTAACAGATACATTAAAAATGTTCAATATCACTTATTATCAGGGAAATACAAATCAAAAGTACAATGAGATACTACTTCACACCTATTAGAATGGCTATAATTAACCACACAGGAAACATCAGATATTGGCAAGGATGTGGAGAAAGGGGAACTCTCTTACACTATTGAGAATGTAAAATGTTTCAGTCCCCTGGAAAACAGTATGTAGGTTCCTCAAAAAGTTAAAAATAAAACTATCTTATGACCCAGGAATTGCAGTACTAGGTATTTATGCAAATACAAAAATATTGATTTGAAGGGACACATGCAGCCTAGTATTTATAACAGCATAACCAACAATAGCCAAATTATGGAAAGAGCCTAAATGTCTACCAACTGATGAGTGGATAAAGAAGATGTTATGTGTACACACACACACATACACACACACACAGGAATATTACTCAGCCATCACAAAGAGTGAAATTTTGCCATTTGCATCTACCTGGATAGAAGTCAAGTGTATTATGCTAAGTGAAATAAGTAAGTCAGAGAAAGACAAATATATGATTTCACTCATATGTGGAATTTAAGAATGAAAACCAATGAACATACGGGATAAGAAAAAAAAGGGATGTAAACTATAAAAGACTCTTAACTATATATAACAATCTGAGGGTTGCTGGTGGGGAGGTAGGCAGGGGGACGGGCTAAATGGGTGATAGGTATTAAGGAGGGCACTTGTTGTGATGAGCACTGGGTGTTATGTGTAAGTGATGAATCACTAAATTATATTCCTGAAACTAATATTAAGCTATATGTTAACTAAAATTTAAATGAAAACTTAAAATAAAATAAAATAAAATACCTTCACTGTTACAATGATGAGAATGTCTTACTCTAATGGAAGTCTGTTAAGATAAACAGCATCAATGAGCTGTATTTTACTCTGTGGATCTGCACTCATTTAAAAATATTTACCTAACCATTAACCTAAAAATATTTACCTTATCATTAATCTAAATACAGACATACTGTGTATTTTTCCTTTCAACGTCTGTTTTTGAGATGTTCATTTGGGACACATTTATCCCTAACCTTTTTCCAGTGAGATGTTTCCATCATACCAGGTCTACAAGATCAAGTCAATATTAAGAATTCATCCATTAAAATGGTTATTCTATACTCTTCTATGTGTCTATTGCATAAATATGTTAGAATATTTACAATGACTATATATCCTTTATTTGATGAAAAGCCCAAATCTCAACTATTCTGTCCTCCTATCCTTATAAAACCATTAAAATATTCTAGAAAGGCTAATTTTTTAATGTCTAAGTTATATCTCTTAAAACTAGGGGCAGTGCAATGACCCCTTCTTGGATCCTGTATGTGTTCTAATTTTTATTTTGGGAAATATAGTTTCTATATATTGTAATGTGATAAAAATTTGTACATTCATTATTCTATGTATTTAATTAAAATATAGATTAAATTACATTCTCCAGATAGGTACATAATTTTTATACGGCAAACCTCTTATCATAAAAACCCTGTAAAGCAGGTATTATGGTTCTTCAACATTAACATCTTAAAGGAAGGCAATAAATTTTAATATGGGAATTTTTCTTTATTAATATGTTATTTTTCTATTTTGTATATTTCTATTTTCCTTATTAGATATACTACTTTTCATACCTGAAACTAATAACACTGCATGCTAATTTTACCTCAATAAAAATATTTTTCTAGGGGCGCCTGGGTGGCTCAGTTGTTAAGCGTCTGCCTTCGGCTCGGGTCATGATCCCAGGGTCCTGGGATCGAGCCCCGCGTCGGGCTCCCTGCTCTGCGGGAAGCCTGCTTCTCCCTCTCCTGCTTCTCCCTCTCCCACTCCCCCTGCTTGTGTTCCCTCTCTCACTGTGTCTCTCTCTGTCAAATAAATAAATAAATAAATCTTAAAAATATATATATTTTTCTAATATATACTTATTAAAATACAGATTTGTTGATATTTAAATATGACTGTCTTGCTACATCTAATGTGAATTATTATACTGACAGGGATAGTATTTGATATAAAAAATCAGAAAACATGCACATGAGGTAGGAATTTATCCTCAAATTATTTTACTCTTCTTCTCTGTCTTGGACAATTCAATTTTTCAAACCTGAAGATTTTTATGTATCTTGCTTTGTGCTGAACATATGATAATTCATATGGGTTAGCATTATTCATAAGATATAAGAATAATTTCTAACTTACAAACAAAGAAATTATATGGCCAGTGCAACCCCTGATTCATTTTTTAAAATTTATTTTAGAGAGAGAGAGGAGAGGGAGAGGCAGAGGGAGAGGGAGAGAGTCTTAGGCAGACTCCATGCTGAGCTGGAGCCTGACTTAGGGCTCAATGCCATGACCCTGAAGTTACCACCCCAGCTGAAACCAAGAGTTGGATGCTCAACTGACTGTGCCAACCAGGCGCCCCCCAATTCATTTTTGATCAACCATACTTTCACTGCTGTGGAAGTTGCTACTTACTGTCAAAGCTCCCATCCCCAGTATCAGAACTGACTGTTGGAGTTTGATAAATGTGAAACCTATACCGCTTAACCTCCCCAGACTCACCTTTCCTGACTCTTCCCTCTAAGATCTACATACGAATGTTATTTGCCAAGAAAAGTCCCCCTGCTTATAAAAATCCCTGTGAAGCTGTTTTCTCCAAGAATTAGATCTTAAAGACAATCAGGGGTGGCACTGCCCTTATATGTTATGTATAATGTTAAACAATATAAATTACCTCTTGTTCAGCACAAACTGAAATACCTGAAAATCTATCCTGGCTTTATTACTAAGTGAATGCTGGGTCTTGAAAAACTTATTTAAAGTACTTTGAGCCTTAATTTCTTCACTTAATATTTAATATGTTGAAGATGGGGTTATCTCTATTCTCCCTCCCAGCTCCAAAAGTGTATGATTCTGATGGTAGTACATAACCCAACAGAAAAGAGTAGTCTGATGATTATACATTCAGGCTGTTTTCAGATGCTAGTTACTAGTCTGACTATTTATGTTAGAGGTTATCAGAATTCACTAATTTAAAGAGCTTTATAGTTGGGAAAGGATAAGATAACTCAGCTTTTACCTATCAACTGCAACATATACATGACATCATATATATTCAACTAAAGGAAAAGAACAAAAGGCCAATACTAAAGTTTTAAAGAATACCTCAGGTGCTACAAAGTTTGCAGTGTAGCATGGAGTCAAGAGAAGTCCATTTTCCCCTCGAAGTTGTTTTGCAAACCCAAAATCACAAATTCTAATGGAGTCTGCATTGGCTGATTCATCCATATATAAAATATTACTAGGCTTAAGATCACGATGAACAACCTTGAACATAAAAGAAAAAAAAATTACATTTCTATAGTGAACTAAACATCTATGAAATAAAACACTTTACTATCAACTATTTCCAGGAGAAGGAACTTTCTAAATCATAAAATTTTGAAAATGACACTTTTTCCAACCTTGATAGCCTTGACACCCTGAAGTATACAGAAGAAATGATCTCTGTCCAATAAATGCTCCAGCTTCTATTCAAGCCATAAGTTTTGTTAATCATTTCCAATCTCAAAATATCAAAATTCAAGTCTCAGTTCCACTTCTGGAAATAATGGACTAAGACCCTACTTAACACTCTCTTCTCCACAGTAAACAGCTCTAAAACTTGAACATAATTAAAATATCAACTACCTGAAGGTACTGGAGAATGAACAGAAGCAGACAGACTCTGAGGGAAGTATACACTTTGTCGAAGGAGGAAATATAGGGAGCTATAAGCAAGCTTCCCATATCTGTGGTTTTTAGCTTAGGGTTAAGTGCAGTTCCTGTCACACAGTGATGGTGAAAACACATGTGGAAAAGCCCACAGACTTTCTGGCTGGGAGGAACAGAAAAGAGATGCTAGGAAACTGAACGCTCAGGAGGAATTCTGTAAGGAAAAGAGCCAAAACTGATCCCTGAGTCAAAAGTGTGTAAGAGGCTCAATGTAATTCATACAAAGATAAAAGATACAGAGACCAGAGCTGCTGCCCAAAATGCAGAGTTTTCAGTGCCAAGAAAATTATCCACCAAAACAAAACAATAATAATCATTGAATAAAAAACTAACAATACAAAAAATCTACTTAATATTCAAATGTGCAGTATATAATCCAAAATTATCTGATATACAAGGAACCAAGAAAATGGAACACAGTTTCAAGAAAAGAGAAAATCTATCAATTCCAACTCCAAGATGAACCACACTGGACCTAACAGACAAGATTTTAAAGTGGCTATTATTACATGTGACATGATGAAGGTATTAACTAATTCCATGGTGGTAATCATATTGCAGCACATAAATGTATCAAATCAACATGTTGTACAACTTAAATGTACATAATGTTATATGCCAATTATATCTCAATAAAAATGTATTTATTCAAAATTCACAAAACAAATAAAGATAAAAGAAATATTAAAAATAAAGTGGCTATTATAACTATATCAATGAAGTAAAACAAAAACATGTTTTCAATGCATGAAATTCTCAGAAGAAAAACAGAAACAATGAGAACCAAATGAAATGCTAGAAATGGAAAATATTCTGAAATTCTCTATGTGATGATTTTCCTACTAATATTATCCACTTCATTTATTCTAGTCCTATTTTTAATCAGCATTTTACTACACTAAAAGTTTTTTAAAGACAAGGACCAAGTCTTACTCATGCTTGAATCTGCATCACCTTTTACAATGTCTGGCATGTAGAAATGTTCAATATATATCTATTATTGATTTATTTAATTGATGTAAGAATCTGAAGGTTTCTAAAATAATAAAAAATAGTTATTTTACTTTTCTCAAAAACCCTGATCACCCTTCATTTTAGAGAGTGTTGATGAAGACTATCAAGGAATTAAATTATAACAGAATTATTCCTTTAGCACTATACAGTGTATATTTCAAAATATTTAAAATATACTCTCTTAAAACACACACTAAGTACTGGTTTATTTTTCTGAATTATAAGAAGGGTCCCTATAGAATTTTCACTATGTCAATTCTGAATTGTTCATTTTTAAATTTTTTATACTTAAGTGAGTACATATGTACTATTACAATTGATTCAAACTTAAAATTTTAAATTATTTGTGACTTTGTTTACTTGTATAGCTGTATATAATAAAAATTGACCTTTTTCATAACTCAATTCATTTGCTTTCTAATCTTTTTTTTTTTTAAAGATTTTATTTATTTATTTGAGAGAGAGAGAATGAGGGAGAGCACATGAGAGGGGGGAGGGCCGGAGGGAGAAGCAGACTCCCTGCCGAGCAGGGAGCCCGATGCGGGACTCGATCCAGGGACTCCAGGATCATGACCTGAGCCGAAGGCAGTCGCTTAACCAACTGAGCCACCCAGGCGCCCTCATTTGCTTTCTTTATGAAGACATAGGAAGCAAAATAACAGACCTGTTCCTCCACCATAAATTTTAATGCATTAGTATTTCAAATGCTTAGAATCCAAATTTGTTACTGTATTTGTAGGAGGAGTTGGCAAGGGTCAAGATATATAGTCCTCTGGACATTTTTCCAAAGAAGACGTACAGATGGCCAACAGCCACATGTAAAGATGTTCAGTATCACTCATCATCAGGAAAATGCAAATCAGCACAATGAGGTATCACCTTACAACTATCAGAATGGTTAGAATCAAAAAGACAAGAAATAACAAGTATTATCAAGGATGTGGAAAAAAGGAACCCTAGAACACTGTTAATGGGAATGTAAACTGATAATAGCCATTGTGGAAAACAGTATAGAGGTTCCTCAAAAAATTAAAAATAGAAATACCACATTATCTAATAATTTCACTACTAGGTATTTGCCCAAAGAAAACAAAAACACTATTGAAAAAGATATAGGCACCACTATGTTTATTGCAGCAGTATTTACAATAGCCAAGATATGGAAGTAACCTAAGTGTCCATCCATAGATGAATGGATAAAGAAGATAGGGTGTGTGTGTGTGTGTGTGTGTGTGTAATGGGATATTAGCACAGCCATAAAAAAATGAGATCTTGCCATTTTCAACAACATGGATGGACCTAGAGGGTATTATGCTAAGTGAAATAAGTCAGACTGGGAAAGAGAAATACCATATAATTTTACTTTCAAGTGAAATCTGAAAAACAAATGAATAACAAATAAACAAAAAGCAGAATCAGACCCAAAAATACAGAGACAAAATGATGGTTTCCAGAGGAGAGTGGGTGGAGGTATGGGCAAAATGGGTGAAGGGGAGTGGGAGACACAGGCTTCCAGGTATGGAATGAGTAAGTTATGGGAATAAAAAGTATGGCATAGGGAATATAGTCACTGGTAATGTAATAGCATTGTATGGTGACAGATGGTGGCTACATCTGTTGTAGTGAGTACAGCATAATGTATACAATTGTTGAATCACTATGCTGTACACTTGAAACTAATGTAACATTGTGTGTCAACTATACCCCCTGAAAAAGATATACAGTCCTTTTACTGCCAGAACTTTATATGTTAGATACAGTATAATTTGAAAAATACAACATGTCCTTGTCTGACTTTTAAGTTTGATTAGGTTTAATAATTTCAAAGTCAAGGTTAGATATATTTATATAATTCAAACCATTTTAAAACTAATATGCTCTTAAATCAGGGCAACAGGCAGAGTGAAGAGAATTAAAGTATTACCCAATTTCCTAAATCTCTAACTTTCACTACATTATGAATTTTATTAGGATATTCTCTATAGAAATATATGTTACAGGAAAATTCATTTTGAGTGGCATCTCCTAGATATAATTTTATGAAGATATATAAGTCCCAAAATTGAAGGGGAGAATATAACTACAACTTACTCCTTGACAATGAAGATAGTCAACTGTCTTAGTTATTACAATCAGTACATCACTAGCTTCCCGTTCTGAGAAACATTTTTTTTTGAGAATACGGTCAAGTAGTTCTCCTCCTTTCATCAAATCCGTAACAAGGTAAACATATCTACCATCATCATAAACCTAAAAAAAAAATTTTTTAAATATTATTATTTATAATTATAATTCTGAAATTTTGAAATTATATTTACTTTCCTTTTCTAGTGACCCTCTATTGTTAAAAAAGGACATTAACCCCTTGCTGTTAATATAGTACAGGCTACAGAGAAGATTAAAATGGCTAAACAATCTCCTATACAGTCTTGAGACCATGTTAAACATATAATTGCATTAACTTTTGAAGTTGTACATTATACTTCATCAAATTATATAAATGGAACAATAGAACTCTGTGTCTCTCAAATAGCATCTATCTCATTTTTGGCTATATTATAGCCACTTCTCTTGCCTACTAATAATAAGCTTCCTTCTGGCAGTAAATACATTATTTTTAAATATAGTCCTCACAGTCCATTATCTGATATGGTGTCTTAAATATTTCATTGAATTCAAATACTATATTAAGGAGAATAAATAAGAAAAATATGTGTACCCTTTCAGGGCATGTGAGATGTTTGTATACACAGATGTGCATGTGTGTGTGTGTGTGTGTATGTATGTATGTATATACACATATATATATATATATATAACAAAATACTGCTTAAAGATTACAAATCAAAATGCATAATACTATTTCACTCAAGGAACAATCCATAATGCTATAGCCATTTGCTATATAATCAAAAAAGTAAAATATTTTAGAATTTGGCAGATTCCAAATCTCCTATATCTTCTATATTTATAGTACTACAGGATAATAAATGGTGGTTATAATGTTGATTAGTTGACCAGTCAGAATATATTCAAGCCATCAGGACACTGTCATTTACCAACCATCATAGTTCTTTTTTGATGTTGTATAAGAAGGGTAGGAGTACAGAATCACAGGGGAAAAAAAAACTGAAGTGGCAAATTTAAGATTTTTGAGATTTTGTGGCTTAAAAGTAGAATATACCATAAACATGAAAAGTTTCAAAAAGAAAATAAAGTGTCAAGTCATAACTTCATTAGCTTAGCTGATACATAGATTTTGAATACCTACATCCTTTAAAGTAATAACGTTGGGGTGTTGTCCATAGCGCATCAAAATTTCAATTTCTTCTGAGGGGTCTCTCTTACTTTTGTCAATGATCTAAGAAATAAGTCAAGAAAAATTTCAGAGAAAACTAAATTATTTTCTTTGTCTAAAAATGAATGAAATATTTTCCATTTGGTTATATTTTAAGCAAACACTTAAGAGTGATGCTTGTTTCACATTATTTTAACATTTAAAAATTTCCTATAACTGAAACTTAATAATAAAAAAAAGAACACTTTTCTTTAACATTATATTCCACTTAACTGAAACTATATCAACTGATAATGTGATCCAAATGTAACAGTAATTGTCACAATTGCACAATCATACCATACTATATTAAAATAAAACTATTTAAAACAAGACATTCATGAAATATACCATTCCTCCAAAATAAAGTCTTAGAAAGAAATTCAAATGAAAATATTTTCTTAAGACTTTTCCCCCATCTATGATGAGTACTGGGTATTATATGTAAGTGATGAATCACTAAATTCTACACCTGAAACTAATTTTACCATGTATGTTAACTAACTATAATTTAAAAACTTGAAAAAAAAACTTCCCTTATCATCTTATCTTTGCTATCTCCACTTGCTCCACTGAAAAATGTCTGTAAGTTACCCTGTAATTTAACTTACATATATATATACATATATATATATATGTATATATATATATATAAAACAAACAAGTTAGGCTCAGAGATAATACCTTCACTGCAAATTCCATGTTGGTAGCTGTATGAATGCATCGCTTGCAAACAGAATAGGAGCCAACACCAATATCCTCTTTTAATTCATATACTTCAGCAAATTGTGTAGCATTTCCATTTATCTGTTTTTTTAAAGTAAAATATTAAAGAGAATGAAATATTTTCACAAATTTTATCTTCTCTTCTAACTATTCATTAATATGAAATCTTTTTAAAAATTCATTATAGAGAAGTTTTATCAGTATTTATAAATGGTTTAAGGAGATTCTTTGTTAATCCTAAATTTTAGGTTTTCTAGATACCCAAAGCCAATACAATAAACCAACTAGTTTATACACTGCCATTACATTTTTCTTGTCAGAAAAGATTACATAAATATAATTAAAGGTTACTACTATCTGTATTTTTCCAAAACATATGGAGACATCTTTAAGTCATATTATACACAGAGATAAATTAAGAAGTTAAAAATCACTTAAAATGTTTAATGTCTTGAGGAACCCTTACACTGTTTTCCAGAGTGGCTGTACCAGCTTGCATTCCCACCAACAGTGTTAAGAGGGTTCCCCTTTCTCCACAACCTACCAACACTTGTTGCTTCCTGTCTTGTTAATTTTGGCCATTCTAACTGGTGTAAGATGGTATCTCATTGTGGTTTCAATTTGTACTTCCCTGATGGTTAGTGATTTTGGACATTTTTTTGGGATGAGCACTGGGTGTTATACGCAACTAATGAATCGCTGAACACTACAACAAAAACTTAAGATGTACTATATGCTGGCTAACTGAACATAATAAAAATAAATAAATCACTTAAAATTATTGTAAATCCATTAGCAAAAACTGAAAGAAATAGTTATCCCTACACCGAATAATCTGATTAAGTGGAATTTACCTGAACAATTGGTAACACGTTTGCACTTGTAACAGGAGTGATTTTATATTCTTCTGCAATAGAAGTTGCAACAAAGCTGAATCCTTTGAAGAGTTGATGAGCATTAGCACTAGCTGGCAAACCAGGAGAATCTAATGTCCAAATAATTATATTTAATTAGAACTACACAGAATTCTATGATATGAAATGTTAGCATTTCTTTAAATATAAAAGAAACCATTAAATGTTTCCATCAGACACTGTATGTTTTTGATTTACTGCATATTATCTGTTTCCCCATTTAGCTACTATGCAAGCCCCATGGATTGTAATTTTTGCCTGTTCTGTTCACTGCTGCATCTTCAGTGCTTAATACCTTCAATATTTGTTGGTATTCAATATTTGTTGAATGAATGCATGAAACAGATGCTACTCTATGTAGACCTCATTAAATTATAAACTTTAAGAGTCAGTGATATATCTTGTCTTACCTCCTACTCCTTACCCTATAATTCATTAGCATGTCAAAGGACTTTTAAAACAAGAATGAAAAAATTTTACCCTTTGCTTTAACACTTGCTTCCCTGATAAATATTTCCTATTTAAATCCTCTGTTTGAAAGATGCCCATGCAATGCTGTATATAAGATCCACACTTTCATATAAGGCAAACAAACCCTCTGCAAACTTAAAATTCATTTAGTTTTTATCTAAGAAGCTAGTTTATTTTTAACAATCTAATTGAATGAAAGCCCTGATATTACATATAAACATGCATTACCTTTAGGTGTTTTTGCAGTAAATTCAGGATCAAAACAAAAAGTATCATCCGGTTTTCCAGAAGCAGGTTTGAAAGGAGGTTGAACTTCTCTTCTATATAATTTCTAGAAGAAAAAACAGGATAACACAAAATCATATTAACACTTTAAAATTACTATATTTTCTAAGGGAAAGCAGAATATAATATTAATAGTCCTTAATAAAAGACTCACAATTTAATAAATAAAATTTTAACAGGCTTCATATACCTGTTTACCAAATTCTAAAAATTTGAGAGATAATCACAGTCAAATGAGACCAGGAAACACAACAGTGATGCCAAAAGTTGCATACACAAAGAATGATGTTCAATTTTGGGTATCAAAAACTGACTTTAATTCTCCCTTGTAAAATAACCATGTAGAATATATCACAATGTGACCGTACATTCAAGAATTTCAAAACTAATAGATTATCTTCAAGAAGTATATATTTCACCTAAAATATTTTGTTGTTACATAAAAATATGTCTTAAATACACTGTTTAGAGCTATTATTAAATAATTTAAAAATATAATCTTGTCTAACAATTTAACTTCCTAAAATTTTGTTTTTGAAAGACCTTTAAAACATCTTAAAATATATGAAAATTACCCTCTTTTAAAAATCTGCTTTTTTAAAAGGTCACAGTCCTATAGTGGAGGAAAACTAATAATTACTTTGATTTTCATTTATTTAAATATATAAACAATATATTCTTTTGTTACTTAAATTAATAGCAATGAACATAAACTGTTTAGATATAAGAATGATGTAAAAAAGGAATTGTGGTTGTCTAGTTAAGAAGAAAGGAAGAGTAGACAAGCATTAGGAAAAAAAATGACAAGGGGATATAAGGACACCAAGAAAGGGATGCACACACATACGACACAGGACAGACTCCCATGTAGCATGCCCACTGAGTGGCCTTTCAGGGTATTAATACTAATGGCTTATGTTGTGCAGTTGTACAATTATAAAAAAATCATTTTTTCCAACTTTTAATTTAAACTCCAGCTAGATAACATACAATGCAATATTGGTTTTAGGTGTAGAATTTAGTGATTCAAAACTTACATATGACACCTGATCTTCATCATAACAAGTGCTCTCCTTAATCCCATCACCTGTTTAACCCATTCCCCACCTACCCACCTCCCCTCCAGCAATCTTCAGTTTGTTCTCTAAAGTTAAGTGTCTGTTTCTTGGTTTGCTTCTCTTTTTTTCCCCATGTTCATTTGTGTTGTTTCTTAAATTCCACATATGAGTGATATCATATGATAATTGTCTTTCTCTGACTTTTTTCACTTAGCATAATACATTCTAGTTCCATCGATGTCATTGCAAATGCCAGGATTTCATTCTTTTTGATGGCTGAGTAATATTCTATTACACACACACACACACACACACCATTCATCAGTCGATGGACATTTGGGCTGTTTCTATAATGGCTATTGTTGATAATCCTGCTTATAAACATTGGGGTGCATGTATACCTTTGAATTAGTATTTTTGTATTAGGTATTTTTTGTATTAGTATTTTGTATTAGGTATTTACCTAATAGGGCAATTGCTGGGTCATTCGGTAGTTCTATTTTTAACTTTTTGATGAACCTCCATCCTGTTTTCAGGGTAGCTACACCAGTTTGCATTCCTACCAACCGTGTAAGAGGATTCCTTTTTCTCTGCATCCTTGCCAACACCTGTTGTTTCCTGTGTTGTTAATTTTAGCCATTCTACCTGATGTAAAGTGATATCTTATTGTAGTTTTGATTTGTATTTCCCTGATGATGAGTGATGTTGAGCATCTTTTCATGTATCTGCTGGTCATCTGTATATCTTTGGAAAAATGTCTATTCATGTCTTCTGCCCAGTTTTTAATTGGATTATTCATTTTTGGGGTGTTGAATTTTATAAGTTCTTTATATATTTTGGATACTAACCCTTTATCAGATATGTCATCTGCAAATATCTTCTCCCATTCCTTAGGTTGCCTTTTAGTTTTGCTGATTGTTTCCTTTGCTGTACTGAAGCTTTCTACCTGTTAAGTGTGGTTATTCTCTCCTATTCTCAGTTGGGGAATGTGAAGGAGGGAGAAAAATGTACATAGATCCACAGATCTTATTTGCCTTATCATTCACCCCCTTATCCATTTCTCTCCCTCCTGCACATTCCCCAACTGAGAATAGGGGAGAATAGTAACTACACTTAATAGGTAAAACGTATGAGTAACAAAAATTTACTAAATATCATCCACACATCTACTGGTTCAAGGTAATTGTCATGACATCTATATCTCTAAATAAAAATCTCATACCAAAAAAAAAAAACTAATTAAGTTTTATCAACAAAGTCCAAATATAACAATTTTATTCTTCAGTGTTAGTTCATATTAAAGTCACTCAGTAACAAAGTTTCTACTGAACTTACATTCCAGTCAACATTTGCAAAAAAAAGATGTCTTTTGATTTCTTCAACTCCTTCTGAACCTATAAAAAAAGAAATAATTTTTTACTGGTATAATTTTTTTAAGCTTTCTACCTGGCTTCTCTGCTATTATCTGTACAAGAGTATATACATTTCATAGATTCCTTGCAGTGAAAATTTTATGATTTATCTGATATTTTACTGTGTTTTTTGAATTAATATGATAAAATATATCTGATGTTCACATTGAAGCACATAAAGTATCATGAAATACTGAAATGCCTTCCAAGTTAAATCAAAATAGTGTTTAACATATAATTAAAATTGAAGCATATTTTCTTTCCTTCACTATAAAACTTATGACCATGTATCTCAATGCCAAATTAAAAAGTGCAACAGAATAAAGTGACATTGAAATTTTAACACAAGTCCACAAATAAAATGATAGGATCACATCTGGATCCAGGGAAAGGTTACCAGTACGTGGACAAATAATGAGAGACTATGGATATATTTACCTTGAAGATTTCTGGAAGGGACAGAATAATTACCTTCAAATATCTAAAAGGATTACCTATATAAGGGATAATTCTGTGAATTATTTTAGAAGAGGTACTCCACACGATATACATAATGGTATGTATTAAACAGAAGTTCTGAATAACTAGACCACTCCATTCTTAAATTATGGACACAACAGAGTTTACTGGATCTATGTACATACAAAATGCAAACTTCTAGGTATAAATATATAGCAACAGTAAATGAACTAAGCCAGAAAACAAAGTTACAATTATCCTCCCAAAGCATGCAGTGTATTGTTATAAAAGCTAAGACAACAAAGAATACCCAATCTATTTGCTGGATTCCTTTTGAATAACATCCTTAGGAGACTTTGTGCCTCAGCACTAAGAAACTGAGGCATCCCAAGTTTTGCTCTGAAAAATAAGATTTTAGAAAATTTCACTTAAATCTAGCCATACTTTAAATTGACAAATCTTAAAAAGAATTTAAAAGAATGCTTTAACAATGTCAAATAATGTCCCTTTTATGGTAGGAGAAGAAAACAAGACAGTGTGAAAAAAAATGTTCTTTTGTGTCAGTTGAAAACAAGATTCTCAAAACTGAAAGCAAGGAATTTTTCCCAAAAGAAAAAAAATAATGTTCACACTTACTTTAATATCATATTCATGGTTTCATTTCTGTCTTTACCTTGAAATGGCAGAGTACCAGTAAGCATTTCAAACTAAAACAAAAAGTAATACATTAATTTAGCAGAACTTAGAATATACAATAAAATTCTTTAGGAAAAATATTGAGACAAGTAATACATGACCATCAAATCACATAGAATCTACATGATAGGTCAAAATAGGACCAGAAAACTAAGTCAATTAAGGAACTATACTTCTGGTACCCCACTACATATAGCCCAACTGATAGGTGACCGTAGGAAATGAAACAACCAATTTTTTTTCAGTATTGTCTAATCTGGTTACTTTCCCAAACCAAAGCAATTTGAAAATAGACACACAGCATTTTCTTTTAAAACAAAAATACGCTTTTAAAGCAAACATTGAACAATGAATGGAAAATAAAAATAAGCACTGAACCATTTCAAATTCATACATGCTTTGTACAACTAACTGGAATTTAAATAAAACTTAAAAAAAGAATTTCTACAAAAGGCTGATAAGCTCATGAAAAGATGTTCAACATTACTAGTCATTTGTGAAATAAAAAGAAAAAAAGATTTAACTATTCTTATTCTCCTCACTGCCCCCCCCAAAAAGCAATCAAAACAGAACAAGAAGCTACACACATACAACAATATCTTAAAAAAGATTTTTTGAGACAGTTGTACATGGCATAAAAAACATTTTCCCTAAGAGATTTAACTGTAATGTAGATAATTAGAACATTAAATAATGGTATAAAAAAGACTAGATCTAAAAATTAAGATCATTATAGTTCACTAAAGAGAAAACTTTGTATCTCTAATATTTAAGTCTTTTTTCATTATTTTTTTATTATTATGTTCAGTAAGTTAACATATATCTCTAATATTTAAATCTTGAACTTGGATTCAATAATGGCTTTCACTTCAGTCCTCTGCTCATTTATTTGAATTCACAACCTTAGCTTATCCATTCCATTCTTTCCTATACACTGATGACTTTCAAATCTGTTCAAGCCTCAATCTCTCTCAAGTCCCAGTTCTCCCTCCCAAATCTATAGTAATGTTTCTCAACTGGAAACTGAATAAGTAGGGGTAGGAGCCACAGAAAGGGAAATAAGAGAAAAGAAAGTATAGTATATAGGGATCATTGTTCTCAAGTTCCAGTCCCCTGACTCCAAACCTAAAGTTATGGTTCTCCACTAGAGTAATACTACACTGGAGGAGTAGAGATGGTAATGGGAATGACAAAAAGAAGGGGGATATTATATTGGAATCACACCTCCCCCCTAAATTAAACTGTATATTGGCTGACTGAGCATTGTTTTTTCAAAGTCTCCAGATGATCCTGATCTCTCCACTTCCTTTCCTAATTTATTACCACCAAGGGGTTAACCACAAACCCACAGTAACCTATGCAACATGTTATAAATAAATTATTTCTCCATTCGAAAACCAGCTCCCCTTCCCAACTATCTCTTTTCTACTGAACTTTCATTCTTTCAATTCCCTAAAGTTCATAAATTTTTAAGTTATCTTTATCTTTGACCCTTTCCTTCTCCTTCATATGTGACGTTAAATCAGGTATTAAGATCAGCCACTTCTTCCTTCCTTCCTAATATACATTTTTTTCTCTAAGTACCATTTTGTTAAAGAATCTACAAAAGTTTCCTACTACTCAGAGAATTACATGCATACATTTATATGCTTATAGCCTCATTTCCTCCACCTTCACCCTCATTCTCCACTACTATTCTAATTGGTTCTCCAGTTCTTTGCTAATATGATCACAATACTATCCTTCCTGAGACTTGGAACTATTTAAATTTTATCCATGCTTCAGGATTTAAGTTCTACCTTCTCCACTTTTCCTAAATCAACTTATATGATTTCTTGCCTGAATTTCTAAGGTATACTGTCAGGCCGTTTATTTAGCTGTTCCAATTGTTTCCCCAACCAGATTGTATGCCTTCTTAGGTGATGAAAAATGTCAAATATCGTACTTCAAGTTTACTCCTACCCCATTACCCTCCCCAAATGCCAGGTTTATAATAGGCACTAATACATTAATGTGTCATATAGTATGTCATTCAGTAGTAAATAGGCAAAATGGATTATCAGCAAGATGGATTATACAAGCAAATTGATTCAATAGCTATTCATTTATCACTCTACTTAATACTGCAAATTCTATTCTTAATTTATACCAGATTAGTCAGTTTGTATGCCCACTATGCTAGGTACTATGGGAGATGAAAAGTAGTATGAAACATGATTGCTCTTCTCAAGAAGTTTACAGTCTTTCTAGGGACATGCATGAAACAATTTGACAATAAGACAGTTTATGGTGAAGTGCTAAAGTCTGGGATACCTAATTAATAAAACATATGACAGTTAAACATAGTATTCTGAAATCTAAAATCTGGAAAGTCTTTTTCTAAGTTTTAAATTTGAATAGCTTATAAAAGAATGCTGCCATTTACCTTTTCATCTAGGAACTTTAAAAGAAATCAGAATACCAAAACCTTAATTCTTACTGTGTAACAGCTAGCCAGTCACAAGTTTTTTAGTAATCATGAATTATCAAAACTCTGTTCTCACCTGATACATTCCAAAATTTAAATTAAAATTCTAAATAATATTAATTTTATATTGGTATAATTAAAAAATTAACACTACTTACCATAAGTACACCATATGACCACCAATCAGCACTCTGGGAATGGCCTCTCCTATTTACTACTTCAGGAGCCATATACTCCACTGTGCCACAAAATGAGTAAGCCTTCTTTTCTTGATCTACTGATTCCTTGCTGAGTCCAAAATCTATAATAACAATATGTTACAAAAATATATCTGAAGATATTCAGAAAATAGAAAATACCAAAAGAAATAAAATTGTGTTAGACCTTAAAACAATTCATGGATGGCCTATAATTACTCTTAAGAAACCTCTCCTACGAGACAATGGACTTCAACCTGTATTTCATAATGATACTCTTTAAGAGCATTTAAAGATTGCTCAGTAAATTTCATCATCAAAATACACGTTTTCATGTCTATACTAGAATATCATTCAGCAACTTTGAGAGGTCAACAATTAAATCAAAGCTGTCATAGAGATCTAAGTTTTAAAACAGACTAAGACAAAAAGGAGGGAGTAACTTACACTTTTTAAAACACTAAAAAAGCAAAGTGTGCTTTGGTTTTGGTGAACTTCCATTTTTGTTTAAGGCTTTCAAGAGCTGAAGGTACTAATATATAAAAATCAATCTTATTCCTATGTACTAGCAATGAAAAATTGGAAGCTGAAATTTAAAAAGTACCATTTATAATACCACCAAAAAAACCCCAAATGAAATCCACAGGTAAAAATATACAAAGTGTATGAAAGACCTGTATGCTGAGAACTAGAAACACTGATGAAAGAAATCAAAGTAGATCTAAATAAATGGAGAGACACATTGTATGCATGGTTTGGAAGATTCAGTGTTGTTAAAGATATCAATTCTCCTAAAAACTGATCTACAGAGTCAGTGAAACTTCAATAATAAAACCCAGCAAGATTTCTTTTGTAAAAATCAAAAAGCTAAAGTTAAAATTTATATAAAAAGACTATAGAAAATACAATAGCCTAAATAATTTTGAAGAAATAAAAACTTTGAAGGACTTACATTACCTCACTTTAATACTTAACATAAAGCTACAGTAATCAAGAAAGTGTGGCATTGGAGAAAGGCTAGACATATATATGTCATATATAGGACAATATATATTGATATCCATATTGATATATATCAATGCAAAAGGACAGTGTCCAAGAATAGACTAACACATATAGTTCTACTATAATGCTTGTTTTGAAAATGCAAATTCGTTCCACTGTGATTGATACATTAGGAAACAATTTGATCACAACACAAATTTCAAATGGGGTTGGCTTATGTGTGGTTTATGTGTAATTTTGTCTATAAGAAAACACTAGATGAGACACTATAAAACTGTACCTAGCTGAAGCAAGCCAGGTAGAAATAGATACATGCACATACCCCAAACATCTGCCAGCTATTTCAGCTCACCATGCGTATTATGAGCCACTCCTGTCCACCTGTAGTGTTACTCCCAATTCCAGATAATCTATTTTCTACTACTTCACAATAACTAACAAACTGTAACCTTTCTGACAACAATTCTACAAGCAAATTTCAGTATTTTTTTCAAACTAAGGTTCCTACTTATTGTAGTATTTATACATTCTTAAACATTTAGAATGTGTAAAACAATGCTGTCATTTTTATCAACTTCCTATCTTTCTTTTGTGTGTCTGGTTATGTATTTGAGTGTTAAGCCCCTAACCCCATTTTCCCCATTAAACCCTGTGCTTTTTATTATGTAATTATTCATAGTGGAATGATTTTTTTTTAAGATCATATGTGCTGCATTAGAACTGGCTATATATTGTTAATTGATTTCTGATAAAGGTGTAAAAGCAATTCCACGAAGAAAGTTAAGTTCTTTTCAACAAATGGTGCCAGAACAATGGGATATTAATATACAAAAACATCCTCATAACATAAAGAAACATTAACTAAAAATGAACCTTAGAACTAAATGTAAAACCTAGAACTGTAAAATTGTCAAAAGAATAAAAGGAGAAAATCTTTTTGATCTTGAATTAGGCAAGGATTTCTAAGATACAACATCAAAAGTAAAATTCATAAAAGAAAAAAGTTGATAACTGGACTTTGTCAAAATCAAAACTCTTCAAAAGATACTGTTCAGAGAAGAAAAAAAAGAAGCTACAGACTGGAGAAAATATTTGCAGACTGCATATCTGATAAAGCTCTTGTATTCAGACTATATTTTAAAAACTCAAAATAACCCCTTGAAATTCAATAATAAAACAAACAATCCACATTTTTTAAATGGCTAAAAGATGTGAACAGATACTTCTCCAAAGAAATAAATACACAAAAAGATGCTCACTGCCAGTTATTAGGGGAATTCAAATTAAAATCCTAATGAATACTACTACATGCCTATTAGTAGAGCTAAAATAAAAATACTGACAATACCAAGTAATGACAAGGATGCAGAGCAACTAGAGCTCTCATATGTTGCTGATGGGTATGCAAAATGGTGCAACCACTTGGATAACAGTTTGGAGGTTTCTCACTGAGTTAAAAATACACTTACCATAAGACCAAGCAAACCCTCTCCTTCAGTATTTACTCAAGTGAAATAAAAATTTATGTTCACATAAAACCTGCACATGAATATTTACAGTGGCTTTATTCATCACTGCCAAAAACTGGAAACAAGCCAAATATCCCTTAATTGGGGATTAGACAAACCATGGCATCATCATAAAATGGAACACTATTCAGCAATAAAAAAATAAATTGATACACACAATATAGATTAATCTCAAATACACTGTATTAAGTAAATAAAGCCAGACTCAAAAGGCTATTTGCTGTAGTCTCTGTTTTACATTAAATCATGGAAAAGACAAAACCTTAGGGACAGAAATTAGATTGATACTTGTCTAGGGTAAAAAGGAGGATTAACTTACGGGGAAATTGTGGAGGGTGATAGAATTGTTTTATATCTTTATGTTGGTGGTGGGAATAAAACTAAACGTATTTGTCAAAGTTTGTAGAACTATAGATGAAAAAGTGATTTTTAAAAATTAAACCTTATATTTTGAGACAACTGCAAATTCACATGCAGTTATGTGAAATACTACAAGAGATCCTATTTGCCCTTTACCCAGTTTCCCCCATGGTAACATCTTACAAAACTATATTACAGTATCACAACCACAATATTGACAAGGATATTGTCAAGATAAAGAATAATTCCATCACCACAAAGATCCGAAGAATGAGTTTTACTCTAATGTAAATTATACCTTAATTCTATAAATGAAAATAAAGCTCTAAGTCCTATATTGCTCTCTTAAAATAAAATACCAATATTAATAATTAATTTTAGGGTGTCTCAAAATTAATTTTCTTTTTCTTTTTTAAAAGATTTATTTATTTATTTATTTGACAGCGAGAGACACAGCGAGAGAGAGAATGCAAGCAGGGGGAGTGGGAGAGGGAGAAGCAGGCTTCCTGCAGAGCAAGGAGCCCGATGCGGGGCTCGATCCCAGGACCCTGGGATCATGACCTGAGCCGAAGGCAGATGCTTAACAATGAGCCACCAAGGCGCCCCTCAAAATTAATTTTCTAACCATGCTCAATATTTTCATTTAAAAATCACTTACCCTTGTATAATAACTCAAATGCATTATGATTTTTACCATAATTTTAAAATATCTTTTCAATGGACTACTACTTTATTTCTCTACATTTTGAGACTTTTAAACTCCTGCACATTCCATTTCAAAGATTAAATGTAATAAAAGCTAGTCTTCGAGGTCAGTTCAGCCAAATAAAAGAACATACCTTGTAGAGAAGAACACTGGCTTCTTTGGCCATTCCAGAGAGGAGGAGAAAGGGAAGAGAATTTTCTTATCCTCCATTACCTTTCAGAGATTTATACCACTCCATAGAGGTCCTCTGCTGTACTTTCTCTGACAAAACTGACATTTAACACTAGAATTTGCTCAGCAATCAACTGACAAAATATTTTACAATAAGAATTAGCTACAAGATTAAATAAGATATAAGTTAATCAGTGATTTTTCCAAGCCACTAATTTGAAAACAAAATACAGAAATCAGCTATATAAAGGCTTTTTTTGGGGGGGGAAGTATATCTTTGTAACCTTAAATGACTCTAAGACTTCAAATTTTAAAAGCATGCCTAGAAAACAATGATTTCATGACTACTATGAGTAAAAGTAATCCCAGTGACTAATTTGCAGATAGCCATAAAAATTATTAAAATTATTTTTATGTATACATTCTCTCTTAAATATCCAGCTCAAGTACTGCGTGATATAAATTTCTGACACTGTATATTTTTTCTCCCTTCTCTTTATAGAAATTACCCTGTATTATGTCCCTCCAAAAACATAATATAGCAACCACAGATAGTTGAAATTGTGTTTAATTTATAGTTTTTAATGGGATATTATGAGTAAACATTATTTTCTGAACCAGGCAAGTCATATTACATATTTAGATTTTATATAGACTATGAGGTGGGGTGTTACAGAAAAAAAAAAAAATAAGACACAAAAACAATATAAATAATATATTGGCATTTATGCAGGTATTTTGGGGTATTCATTCTCATTCTGTTGATCTTCTGCTATACAATCATACTCTCAGTATGAGGTCAATTAGGCTAAAACCATAGTCATACCAAGGAACATTTATATAGTCCACTGTCATTCTAGAGTAACCTGTTATAAGTCTATTCTTTTTATCTAGAGGATTTTTAAAGTGGACAGATAAAAAGAAAGATATTGCCCCTCTCTTATGATTAAGGAAAACCTCCTAATTCTTCCCTAAGCCTAAGAAGAAGTAATCTTGGGAAAGACCCTGCCTAGATGAGACATTCCTAAATCACTATAGCCCACTGGTATCAATGACAAACAGCTATCAATCTGGTACTTTTGACTGTAGTATTCAAAATGGAAGGAAGAAGATAGGAAGGACAAGAGGAAAAGAGGGAGAGGAGAAGGGAGGAAAAGACACACAAAAGGAAGAAAAAGAAAAGAAAGAAAAAGAAAGTAAGAAAGGATAAAAAGAAAATAAGTTAAAGGAAATAATGAAAAAAAAATAAAAGTAAAGTATAAGAATATTTGCTGTGAACGGTCACACTTTAACCAACCTTATTGGAATAGTGTTAGGTTAAATCCATATGTTTATTACTCATTACACAACTTTGAATTGGGCTATAATTATAAAACAGTGTAAATTATCTAATATTTATTATTCTATAATTTTTAAAGAAATATTAACACCATTTTAAGTAAAATAGATTGAATTGTTAAACATATTTATATCACCTTTTCTTCCTGTTATAAGCCTCTATCCTTTGCTTATAAGTTTACGTTTTTTCTAACTAATCCTTCCTCCTCAGCCAGTTTAAGTCCAAAAGCTATAAAAGCAGAATTTACATTACAAGACTAAATATAAAACAATTTGACATCATTATTTACCCAAATAACCTTAATGTAGAAAAGCAATATAGGTCAAATTTATTCTATTTTTTTCCCACCTCCCTTCCTCAACTCCTGACAAAACAGGTATAGTTTATTTTTAAAAATGAAAAGAATTAAATTCTAATTAGCTTTGCAACTAAAACTTGATTGATATAAAATAAAAATTATATAATGCATAAAATCTTAAAACGCTACTGTTCTCTCTTCCTATTATTTTTCTTTCCTTTTCCTTTTTCAATCCCTTTAAATCTACGTTGCTTCTTTTATATATGAAAAAGAGAATCAGGCTATGAATCAAAAAGATTTACTAAACTTTATTTGAACTTTGTCACATCTGCCTGAGCCTTCAAGTTAACAGTTTTATACTTTATTTTTACATTGAAGCGGTATACTTAGGAATTTAAAGCAACTTACCTTTAAAGTGTACTGGTCCAAAATTCTCTGTAAAGACCACATCTTCATTTTAACATTCTGATAATTAAATAAAGATTTTACTATCTATTTATAACATAAGTAACCTTTTGAGATTGGCTCACTCAGCATAATGCCCTTGAGTCCATCCAAGCTGTTGCATATATCAAGAGTTCTTTCCTTTTTACTGCTGGGTAGTATTCCATTGTATGGTTGTATCAGTTTGTTTATCCATTCATTCTTTGAAGGACATTTGGGACATTTCCAGTCTTGGGCTATTATAAATAGAGCTGCTATGAAAATTCATGTATAGGTTTTTATGTGGACATAAGTTTTTATTTCTCTAGGACAAATGCCCAGGATGAGTACTGTATGGTTCTATTTATATCATATTCTCAATATAACAAAACTAGAGATGTAGAATAGATTAGTTGCCAGGAGTTAGGGGAGGGATGTGGAGGGCATGATTGTAAATAGGCAGCACAAGAGAGTTCTTTTGTAGTTGTAAAACAGTTTTGCATATTGATTGTGGTGGTGGTATTCAAATCTATACATGTGATAAAAAGTCACAGAATTACACACAAACAAAAAAATAAATGCATGCAAAAACTAGTGAAATCCAAATAAAGTATATGGTCCAATGAGTTGTACTATACAAATCAATTTCTGGGATTTGATAACACACTGCAGTTTTATAAGATGTCACCATTGGCGGAAGCTGGGTGATGGTTAGACAGGACCTCTCAGTACTATTTTTGCAACTTATTGTGAGTCTATAATTATTTAAAAATAAAAGCTTTTAAAATTGGTATAATAACAAAATTTTACGCTTAAGAATCCTGTGAGGATTAGCACCTTGTGTTATAGTAAACCCTAAATATTCAAAATAAAGACAAATAAAACATTTTCACAAATAAAGAAAAAAATGAATCTCTGATTCTGAAACACTTGGTTTAAAAGTTTATAATTCATTATATTTCAAATATGATAACTACTTATGATAAATCTTTCAGTCTAGACTAAAACTAAGATGATGTGTTTTTATCTAGAAAGCTAAATGTCATTTGTTAATTAGGACAGTAACTCCATTGTATAATTTTTTGGTATTACAATTAGAACATATTGAGAGCTATCTTATCTACCTTTTAAATAAATTTTAGTTCACTAAAGAGATGAATAAAACACAAGTCAAGGAAAAAAGAAAACAGGCTTAGACAAATATATATTAAAATATAGAAAAATATAAAATGGGTTTAGGATAAAATAAGAAAATTTGCATACCTGTTAACTTGATATGTCCTATTTCATCAAGCAGAATGCTGTAAATCAAAATTCACACTCAACAAGATGGAATAAAATATTTTATACAAAACATTTACATAAAAATCATCATAAACTTTAATATTTGATATACTGGAAAATATTTAAATGATTGATTTCAAATCAACGGGGAAATAAAATCAATGGGTATCTTATAAAGATTACTTTTTTAAGTAAGTTTCATATAATTATATAATTCATATATAATTTCATGTAATTTTTAAATAAAATAAATAAAAGACTTAATGGAGAAAAAAGTAGTTATAGAAAACTGGTAACAGGGATTCATAAGAAGAATATAGCTTTACTTTTCTGGCTTCAGGTCTCTATAGACAATTCCTAATTGGTGCAGATGATCCAAAGCAAGGGCCAGTTCTGCAAGGTAGAATTTTACATCTTCCTCTGTAAACAGAACCTAGAATACAATAATTTACCATTTGATCCTTTTTCCAACATTGAATTTTTTAAATTTACTTCATTAAAAACCAATAAACAGACAAATCTAGATAAGTAAAAAAAATAAAAAATAAAAGTAGATAGATTAAACTACTCTTTAAGAATCCTTCTCTTCGGGCACCTGGGTGGCTCAGTTGGTTAAGCAACTGCCTTCGGCTCAGGTCATGATCCTGGAGTCCCGGGATCGAGTCCCGCATCGGGCTCCTTGCTCAGCAGGGAGTCTGCTTCTCCCTCTGACCCTCCCCCCTCTCGTGTGCTCTCTCTCTCTCTCATTCTCTCTGTCTCAAATAAATAAATAAAATCTTTAAAAAAAAAAAAAAAGAATCCTTCTCTTCAATATTAACTGTTTTAATGTAAATCTTCCTAAAGCATATTATGGAATTTACATATCTTCTACACTGAAGAGTCAAATTAGCTTATGTGGAAAAAAGCTTTGTAAATTATGAAATGCTATGTGTGTAACCATGAGGTATAATTATTATAGGTTTAGGTCTATATTCATTCATAAGTGAGTGTTAAATTTACACACAAAATTAGGCACTACTCAACCATTAGATGTATTTTTTTTTCCATTGGATGTAATTTTTAAGATTTATCAAAGGCTTTTGATTGGCAAAACAAATAATTTGTCTAGAAATTGGTTATTTTCACTACAGAAATCTCTGAATTATTAGGAAAGTTCAAAATTTGAATGAAACATCATTAAATCTTATTAGTGACTTGTGCATTTAGAATTATGGCCATTGAATTACATAATACAGACTCCGGTTACTAGTAAAACTGCTGAGAATGAGCAGTTAAAGATAAATTTTGAAACTCTACCTACTTTTTATTAAAATGATCTATAGAAAAACAAAGATTGTGCATTATCTAACTTTCAGGGAGTTCCTTTGAATATTATAATGGTAAAGTTATAAAAACATAATTTTCACTTGATACTTTTTTATTAAGAATAAACATATTTGATATTTTATTAAGAATAAAAATATTTGTTACTTATTTAACTTCTCAGGAAGGCTAATCAAAATTTTAATTTAAACCTAACACATAAGGAAATCCTAAACAAAAATCTTTCTAACTTTAAAGAAGCTTTGTCCAGGTTACAGTTTTATGGCAAGCATATTATTTTGTCATGAAGCTGTCTCTGAAAAGCCTCATGATAGACACAAATAAGAAACTTACTAAGTAGCAATTATGTGCCAGTAAATTTACATTCATCATGTTATTACAACCTTTCAAACAACACTATGAGGTATATATTATCACCACCTTACATCTGGAGAAAGAGACTCAGAATCAGAATAGCTAGAATAACATAGCTAATAAGTAGGCCCACAATTTGAACTCAGGAATACTTATCTCTAAGAACTACCTCTTCCCAGAAGCCACTTCCACCATATGTTAGGTTTCAACTAATGCTTTCCTATTTACTAATCATCCTATCACCAATGAACCCATGAAAGAAAATCATCTAAACCCTAGCACCTTGAGTTAAGCACTGCTAGTCTTTTGTTGTCTGCTCTTCAAATCATTTGTGCATGTGTGTTTTAACATATTTAAGATCACAGTATATATACTATTTAGTGGCTTCCTTTTTACCCATTTAATATTATAACATAAGCCGTCTCCCACATTTTTAAAATTTATAGTTTTCAATAGTTGCATAATATCAACATACTAATTTACCATAATTTACCTAAATGTTCATTTGGATTATTTCCAGTTTTTCATTATTTAAATAACTCTGTAATATGCATATATATATATTTTATTTATTTCCCCAAAAAGAATTCCTAAGAAATAAAACAGGAAATACTGGGTCTGTGAAAATAAATAGTCCAAGATTTTGACATATAGAATAAAATTATTTTCCAAAAAGTTTACAATAATTTCTACTCCCATCAGCAATTTATGAAAGCATTTGTCTTACCACATCCACAATAGCACTGAATATTACTCTTCAAAAATATTTTTTAATTTGATACACAAAAATGCCACCAATTATTTTAATTTAAATTTTGATTCCTAGGCTAAACATTTTTCCATGTCCTTTAGGCATTTCTATTTTGTAAGTAAATTATTGGTAATGTTTTTGCCTATTTTCCATTATTTACTTACTGTTTTTTTCAATCGGTATAAGCCCTTTATATATTAAAAATGTCAGTTCTCCATCACATTACTTGTAAATATTTTCACCATTCTGTGCTTGTTTTTGACATTCAGGAATTCTTAATTTTATGTAGTCAAATTTATCTATCATTTCTGTATGATTTTCCTTCATTATTTTAATGATTAAGGAGAAACCTCCACTAAGTGGTCAACTGCAAAATTGGCTGCCATTTTCTTTTAGGACAATTGTTTTTCCAGATTTAACTCTTAAGTGAAATTTATCTTTGTATGGTAGAGATGAAAATTTAAAATGATATTCTTCTGAAATATCTAACTGATTTATCATATACTATTTATTGAACAATCAGTCTCTTTGCCATTAACTTGTGATTCTCCTTTATCATAATAACATATGGTAAATCATATACACCTGAGTATTTGGGGGCTTTATAGTATGTGTTTAATCTTGCGTTGATATTCTGATGTTCTGCTTATAGCAGCAGTTTTACAAAGTTTTAAACAAGAGGAAGGACAAGAAAAGTGTGTTATTTTCAAAATATCTTAGTTTTTTTTTTTTTTTTCATTTGTTTACTTTTCTAGATAAGCTGGTAAAATTATTCTGTCACTTTCAAACAGACAGAAATTCCTATTGGGACTTTGCTTGAAAAAATTTTTAAACCTATAAATTAATTCTGGAAAAACTGGCAGCTTTATAATTATCACCATTCATCCAAATATATTTTCTTAATATTAGCAAAGTAAAACACGGCTTAAGAGTTTTGTGTGTTTGTGTGTTGGGGGGGAGGTGTTTGGGGGAGAGAAATTTGGGGAGGTACTGTTCCCTTTGAAATATATATGACATATAATATTCTTTAACACATACAAAAATATACTTTTTAAAGTCTTTTACTAAGGCATGAAGAACATGACCTCATTTTGGATGACATAACAGGTTTTTTGTGTGTATATACAAGTGAAATATAACCAAAAACAACTTCTTATTAATAAGTTGTCTATAGAAGTAACAAATCATTTGCTAAAAGCCTGTTCAATGAATATACTAATTTATTGTCTTTGGCAAATGCATTTAAAATGCTTGCTCTTACCTAATATTCCAGACTTAGGAATCAAAACTTACTGACTGCATCTCTGTGCTAGTATGGGTTTAGATAGTCCCACATTGAGAATGAAGGTCTGAAGAGTTTAAAAGAAAATTAGAAATGACTACGAGTAAAAATTTCTCAAACACATTCTTGAAAATTCTACACTGTAACACAAGAAATCATGAATTCTGGGGCCCTGTTTCACTGCTGCCATTCTGTGTCTTGACACAAGCTTTTAACAAGGTCCTTTATAACCCTCCTTGGAAGTGGGTCCTAGACAGACCCTACCATAAACTGAATTCTGTTCTATAATAAATAATATACCAAGATCACAGTCTATGTTCATGCATGGCATGTTCTACACTGGACATAGACAGATACAAGCCAGAGACCTTAGCCACGTAAGCACTGGCTAGCATATAGTTCCTTTTTCACAGCAAGTTCCAGAGCTCTGGGAATCAATAATAGCTCTCCCACACTCAACATCTTAATTCTGGAAGTGAGATGTTGAAACACTATCACCCAATTAAAATGCTATTCCCAGAGTGCCACTTTAAGACAAAATGAAGTAGACAAGGACAGGATATATTTCCTGCCTGAAACAACTAAAACACAGTACAAAATCTATGAAATGACACTTTTCAAAACATTAGCCATCAGTCAACAAAGGACAATGAATACTGAAAAATGGGAAACAAACAAGGTAAGCCCTACAGCTGTCCTACCTTACTATCTAGAAAGAGTTTCCAAGCAGCTGTGTAAGGAGAGTCAAGTCAGGCAGAGCCTGTAAGACTCCCTGAGTTAATGAGAGGCTGGGGAGACAAGAAGGATAGAATTCACAAGATAGCATATAGAAAGGAGAACTTCAGAGAGAGATAGAGAGAGACAGAGAGAGTGCTATAGAGTTATGTAGAGGTCTCCCTCAAGCATTTACCAGAAAAATGCTTAGGACACAGGAGTAAGGAAATTATCCTGAGCTAGAAAACAATCAATGAAAGGATTAGAAGACTGTTCAATGGAACTTACACAGGGCCAGGAATACTTCCTGTTACCTCCAACCACAGCAGAAAACCTCATATTTCACAGGGTATTGGACAGAGTAATCCAAAGTGTTTTGCTTCAGAGTGGTGCAAAATTAGTCCCTGATTAAATGCTGTTCTGGTCCAGTTTAACAACCTGAAAAAATCAAACTAGTTTTATATTCCAAAACAAATCTCAATATTTGTAAGAATATAAAAATATGATCACCTAACAAGATAAATTTCAGAAAGTCTGCCATCCAATAAAAAATTACCAATCATGGATCTGAGGAAACTACTTGAGCCCAGGTAAGCCTAAGGGATTAAAAACAAGAATTCACAGAATTCACAAAGTAACAGGATAGGTCCTATTCTCAAAAGTGAGAGTGAAAAACTTCATAATTCACAGGATACTGGTTTAGAGTACTAAGAAGGGTGATGTTTCAGTATTGGGAAAAATTAATTCTAGACTAAATTCTGCTCTGGTCCCACATAACAAAACTTAAAAGCAAGACTCAAAAGGTTAACTGTAGGGGCGCCTGGGTGGCTCAGTTAGTTAAGCGGCTGCCTTTGGCTCAGGTCATGATCCCAGGGTCCTGGGATCGAGCCCCGCATCGGGCTCCCTGCTCGGCGGGGAGCCTGCTTCTCCTCCATCTGCCTGCCTCTCTGCCTACTTGTTCTCTCTCTCTATCTCTCTGTCAAATAAATAAATAAAATCTTAAAAAAAA